TAATTTATAAAGCAGCTCTATGAAGTTGGTCCCATTATTATGCCAACTTCTCAGGCACAGAGAATCAAGGTTAGAAAGCAGCAGAGCCAGCTTCTTTGGTCCCAGATCTGCTTTTAAGCACCTTTTCTTCTGTAGCTTCACATGTCCAAGCCCTGACTCAAATGCTTCCATGGGCAGTACTCTGCAATTTGGGGGATGGTCTCACCCATGGTTTTCTAAGAATAGTGTAAGTTGTGAGGGGAGGGAAAGTGCTCCTGACTGCTTCCAGCTGCCCAGGCCATGGGCCTTGAGTGAGAGGTGACACTGGAGAGAAAGGAAACATTCTAAGGAAGTGGCAGGCAGGTAGCAATGGCATTGAAATACCAGTGCCAAATGTGCTAGGCCAGCAGGGCTTTTGAAAATGGTTCTTTTTGGGGGAAAAGAAGACGTCATATAATTGCTTCTGTCTTCTGGTTTTGGCTGGATCATGGTGGTATGCTTGATGAGTTGCTTGAGTTTTCTGGTAAGTGGGGACATTTCCATTGAAAAAGGGCGAGGTTTTTAACAGAGGCAGGTTTTAGGGAGAAAAGAAAGTAGCAACTAGTAGTTAGGGAGTGGGAGGCTCTTTGGGCATTAGACAGTGGAGAGAAGAATGATCTCAGTTAAGGATTCAGGAGTGGGAGAGGTGGGCAAGAGGCTCCTGGAAGGGAGTGGGTGGGCTAGAGAGGTAAGACAAAAATAGAACTAGAGAGATGAGACAGAAAGATAATATAAACCAGTGCCTGGTGTAGCATAAATGCAGTGGTTTAGAGCTGCTTCTCTATGTGGCCACACTAGTGGAAGAGGATTATTTTAGCATTTGTTTGATTTCCTATAAAGAAATGCTCAGGAGAAGTTGGCTGTGGTCATCCAATGCTGAGGGACTCGACAGTGATGAAGGATGGAAGAAAGATGTGGAGATGGCAGTAGACGGCAGCAGAGAATTTGGGAAAACACATCCTGTAGGAAACTGTTGTTTTCTGTCCCTCCCTGTTCCCATGTGCTCAGATTGGTCTTTCAAGTCCCAGGGTTGAATGTGTACAAATCCCATCATATTTTGTCATTTTGGACATCCTCTCCCATACATACTGAGTCTTACTAGTGTCTGGATGTTCAGGAAATGAACATCTAAAGTTTACCCTCTCAAGCCTACTGTAATGCAGGAAAAGTATTCATCTTTCTTTCCCCTCAAGACTGCATAAAGCCTCTTAGAACAAACAGAGGCTTAATCTTACCTTGCCACATGCTAAGTTATACAGAATCTTAGTGTACAGGTCCACGAAGTATAAGTAGAGAAACGAGACCAAACAAGACCTAATAAAACCCGTTGAGAACCACAGAACCCTTCAAGCAGCATGCTCTGTGTGAACTAGCAGAGAATGTGCCTAATCCTGACTCAAACTAAATGTTGTAGAGGTTCGTGTGGAGGCCTGCTTGGGTTTTAGATTAATCTTGATACCACTTACCGAGTTCTGTGATTTTTTTTTTTTTTTTTGCAGAAAAGCTCAGAAACCCACAGCAAGCTGAATATACTCTGAGCACATGAGAGAAACAGCAGAATTGGGAGGATGGGGAGCACGCTGAGCTGGTGGATATGGGGTCCATGTGTTGGCTGTGCCACTCACCAGCTGGGGCCCTGGGCAAGGCACTGTATTTCTGCGAACCTCAGCTACCCCTGGCTTCAAAATGGAGGCACCTGTCCCACATGGTTAGTCACTTAAGAAAATATATGTGGAAGCATTCTGTAAGCTACCAGATGTGATGGTTCTGGTATGGCCATTCAGTTTATGTGGAGATTGATAATTGGGACTGCAGTTAGAATTGGGACCTAAGCAGGGTGAACCCAAATCACTAATACATTTAATACTAAAAATGTCAGTAGGAATTTTTTATGACCATGGATTCCAAACTGTTTGGTTTATAGACAAGGATTGAGAGGCCCAGGAAACATCAGAAACATGATCAAGATTACATAGCTCCTTGGCACTTAGAAGTTAGGGTAAGCCTGAGTCCGTGACTCTGGACTTGAGTCTTTCCATCAGACCACAGTAATTCTGATTTGTTCCACCCATACCTTTGAGCATTTCCCACTGGCCTTTTCCTGCCTGTGCCAACTTAGGGCTGAAACTTGTGCATAGAGGACATGCTCAGTCGGGCCCTTCCTGGGAACCCCTTCCCCTGAGTCCGGTAACCCTCATTCACTAGTCTCATCTTCATAGTTTCTTCCTTGTCCTCCTTTCTCCTCATTTTCTAACTCCCTGTAACCTACCTTTTGCTTTTATTAACCCAGTTGACCTGCTGATTGGCACACCAATTGCCTTTTCTCTGAGTTTTACTTTTTGGTTTGTTTGTTTTGCAGCACTTGAGACCATCTACTCTCTTTCCTCCTTGAAATTCTCTCCTTATATATTCATTCTGCAACTCCCTGGCATCTCCACTTGGTTTTCTTCTTCCTCCCAAACCCAGGCCTTCCCCAGGGCTCATGTTTAGCCCTTTGCCTCTTACTTCTTTTTCTAGATTTAACTCCATAACTATCTCAACTCCCACCTTTGCACCCAGGACTGTATCTTCAGTTTTGAGCTCTAGTTCCACATCCCTGACTGCTCCAGACATGTCATCCAGTGGTGCTGCAGGTAACTCAGATTCCACCTGTCTAAAAGGAAATGTGCAGTCGTCACCTGCACCCCTCTAGCCAGTTCTAAAATGCTCAAGAGTCTTCTTCGTCCCTTTCCTTTGATCCTCCCACATACAGTTAGTTACCAAAGTCCTTTGGATTAACTATTACATCAGCCTATTCTTTTTCATTTGATTGCTCCTTTGACCTGGACTACTGCAGTAACCACCCAATTGACCTTGCTGCCTTCATTTCCTCTCCTTTCTGCCCATTCTTACATAACATTTCCAGATTAATCACCTCTAGAGTCCAGCCCAGACCCTGGACTCCCCTGGCTCAAAAATCTCCAATGGCTCCCAGAACAGGCTTGGTTCTAACTTGCTTTTCCGGGTTTTCCTCCCACCCTGAGGGTTCCTTGTCCTCCAGCCAAACTGCAGCACTTGCTGGTGCTATTTCCTGGGTATTTGTGCTTTTACTGTGCTGCTTGAGAGGAGGCTTCTCCCCTGTTCCAGCCTGTTCATGTCTACCTGTGTTTCAAAGTGTGATCAACTCTGCCAGTCCCTCCTAGAGTTCTTCCCACCTGCCTTCCTCCAAAAGGCAGATGTGTCCTCCTTGTCCTCTGAATTCTTGAGCTGCCCTCCCCGGCCCTCATTGTATTCTTTTGGTACTTTACTATTTGTGTATTTGTCCCATTTCCTTTGGCTAGCAACTCTGCTAGTCGTTTTTGAATCCTCTAAAACAACTGGCAGTGTGCCTTGCACACATTAAATACTGTAAATACAGCCTAGAAAGAAAGAAAAATGAGTACCTCCTCCCCACTGCTGAAACTGGAGGTGGTCAAATGGGTCATCAGGGATCTGTCCTATTCTTCCCTGGCCTCATCACACCAAATAGATTCCCATTTCTTCCATCTTATCCCTGTGGGATTATTACACCCTTCCCCAGTGTCAAAACCTTTTTAATACTTGCATGTATTGATTCTGCCTGATTTGTACCTGAGTGTGGCTATGCTCATCCCAGCTCTACTGCAGTCATACTATATGCAGCCTGGTTAATTAAAAAGTATTTCATGTACTACCCCATACTAGAGGGAGCTGAAAGGGAGATTCTCAATGGTGACTCCCTTTCTTCATTAAGTGGCCCAAAGATTAAAAATCAAACATTATAAGCTGGCAGAGCACTTTGTAATCTCATTTTCTGTGCCGTAGCTGGACACTTAAAGACTTATCACTTCACCAGTAGTATACTTAAGTAGTGGAGAAGGGTTTGTTAAAAAGATCTTCATTGAGATAGTTCCCAATTCGACTTGTAGTCTTGATGTGGTGGTGGGGGGGGGGAGGGGATGGGGGATGCAAAGAGGGGGTGGTGCATTTTGAAGAATATACTCTTAATTTTGAAAGTATGACAATTTTTAGAACATTTTTTAGAACATTTCCACATCATCTCAGTGACCCTGTAGAGGTGGGCATTAATTATTACTCAGTCTGACAGTCGACGTTTAGAAAGAATCCAGGGTTTCTTCTAAGGTCATAGGGTAATTAAGAGGCTTGTCCAGGACTAGAAACTCAGGTCTTGGGAATCCTAGTCAAGTGCTTTTTCCAAGACCAAATGTTTTGTAATCGCTCTGCCTTGCCTCCCATCAGCAGTGTGAATTGACAGCACTAGGGGCCTTAAAAAAAAAGTTCTACATCTTAGATGATGAGAAATGTCTTCTTCTCCTGGTTGGGCCGGGCTTTCCAGAGCCAAAGGATGACATTGTGGAGGTATTAAAAACCTAGTTATGCGGCTGGAAGGAGTGGGCAGTTGTTCAGCGTTGAGCAGTTAGCTAGACTCTGGGTTTGTTTTAACTCTAAGCCTGGCCAGGCTGCAGTTACTTCCTTTACAAGTGCCCTGAGGACTGAGGTGAATTTGGGGTGGGGATCCACCTCTTTACTGAAGATTGGAATCCCCTAGGAATGAAATTGCCTTCTTCAGTGAGTATGGCTGCAGGGCTCCAAACTGAAAATGCCTAAAGTGTCATTTGTTGTCTGCCTATTTTAGTTAGAGGAAAAAGGGGAGGATAGGAGGATGGGGAGAGTAGGGGAGAATTGAGTCAATTATTTCCCAAGAATACATTTTGATCATTCTCTTTTCTAGTAGATTTTTTTATTTTTGGTTGAGATCGGTGGGAGAAGCAGCTGGGAAGTAGAGATTTAAAATTTTGGAGAACCGCAAGTTTAAAGGCCTTGTTTTACAAGGAGGAATTGAGGTCGTTTCTGCTCGCTCACCTCCCCACCGGCTGATCCACAGCCCCAGGTCAGGGATCTCGGCGCTGTTTACCTGTGTACCTTTCTCCCACAATGCCTTGCAAAGCGGTGCTCCCTTACATCTTCCTGGCGTGGAATTCCTGTCACAGGCCCGAGTTATTCCAGGTTCCACCGCCTGAACATCCCCTGACGGCAGCGTAAGTCGGCTGAGACTCCTCACTGAGCCCGAACCTACACCTCCCCTGCTGTGGCCTTGCCCGGCGCCCCGAGAGTGACTTTGTCTGACTTCTTCCCGGTGGCGCGCCGGGCCGCCGCCGCAGCGTCGTTGGCGCCAGTGCATTGGGGCCGCCGCGCGCGCCCAGGTGCGGGCCGCGTTACCTCCGCAGACGCGGGAGAGCGAACGAGCTGCGCGGGCCCAGGACCCTCCCTCTCCCGGTCGTCCGGCGGGCGCGTTCGCCTTTTCGTGTGATAGTCATCGGAGACTTTTCCGTTACAGCAGGCTCAACAAAAGATTGTAATTCCAGCAGCTCTCTTTGGGAAGGCACCACCGCGGCTCGGGCCGGCGGCGAGGCCAGGGCCCGGCCCGGGGGCGGCGGCTGCCGGGCGGCGGGGACGGCCGCGGGCCGTGCGGGGCCGGCAGGGGGCCGCGGGGCCGGCCAGGCTCCCCCGCGCCCCTCCTCGTGGTACGGCCTGCGTTTCCTCTACAATGCTGTTATGCTAATCGGGTGACATCACCGCCCAGCACACGGCGAGTGGCTCCTGATAAAATTACAAACCGGCGGCCGCCGCGGGCAGCCGGGAAGAGGTGTGCGTGCTGCGCCCGCGAGCTCCCGGGCTCGGCAACCGTGGCGTGCTTAGGATTGGCCATATTTAAAAATTCTTTAGTAGAACCTGCGACGCCTCTGTGCTTCTCTCCCTCCTTTCCTCAGTAGTTTATTTCGGGCTTCCAGGCGAGGGCCACGGAAGGAGAGGAAGCTCCAAGGAATTAGATGCCTGTGTGGTAACTCCTTGCCGGGCTAAGGCGGACTCTTCCTGCAGCCGACTACCTATCAGACCACCCGCTGGGCTTGCCGACCGGGATGGGGCTCGCCTGAGGAGCCGAGCGCTGCGGAGGCTGCTGCGTGTTGGATGGGACTGGGAGAGGGCTGGAGCGGGATTTCCAGGGCGCAGTCTGCGGGGTGTTACGCCGGGCATAATGGAATTGCAGAGGACGTCTAGCATCTCCGGGCCGCTGTCGCCGGCGTACACGGGGCAGGTGCCTTACAACTACAACCAGCTGGAAGGCAGATTCAAGCAGCTCCAAGGTAAGCCCTCTCCCAAAGGCCGGGCCTGCCCCGGGGCTGTGCCAACGGAGGTTCTTGGAGGCTTTATTTGTGCCGTATGGTACGTGACCCTCAGGAAGACGGGCGGCCGCACAGCTCGGCCCCAGAGCCTGTGGTTGGCTGCGGGCACCCCATTCATGACTTATACGGGAGGCAGTTGCTCATACTCCACTCCAGTAAAGCCACCATTTGGAGGCCCTCTCTCTCCAGCACCCTTTTGACTCTCTAGGACTGGGTTGTCAGATTCTCGCTGCACACACATTTTCTTTCCTTTTAGCTAACTTTACATCTTTGTAGATCAGTACTCGTAGACTTATTAGTATGCAGCTATTTGATTCCGGGTTGCCTCTGGCTCCCAGCCCCCAGCCTGTTACCTCTGGGAAGCTTTAAAGGTGTAAAGTGCATTGCTCAGACCCAGTCCTGTAGAACAATAGCAAAGGGGAGGAGGGAGTGGTCTTTTTGTTCCTAAGCCTTCGGTAAATTGCAGTTTTTTATTCCGAAGTTTAATTTTAATTTTTCTGATGTATTGTGTTGGGGAAGAGCCTTCCCATCTATTTAGTGGGATGTGTAATTTCTAATGAAAGCCAGTTATTGTCGTTTCAACGCTTTGAGTTGGATTAGTTGGATCAATTACAGGTTTCTTGGAGTCTGTTTAAGGCCCAAATAATTGAATGAGTCCAATATTTTGCTGAGCATATTTTTAGGGAGAGCAGGAGTCTGTGTGTGCACCAGTGTGCTGTGTATTTTACCTGCGGCCCCTGCAGCCCTCAGCTGCCCCTGCCCAGACCGCAGGCCCTGGCCAGCAGCGTCTCAGAACTTATATGTGAAAAAAAGGTTCATATCTGAAAACAGAACTCCTTCCGTTTGGAAGCCCCTGGAATCAGTAGTAGGCTGGGAATGGCTCTAGTACTGTAAAAAAGTAGTATTCGAGGAGTGTGTGTTTCTTATTTTAACTCTTCTCAGTGCTGCAAATGTGGTTCCTGTGAGGAGGAGGAAGGAAGGAAGCAGCTCAGTCCTAGAATGTTTTCATTGGGAAGAGCGGGGAGGATATATTTCATTCATTGGTTTATTTGTCTTGTGAAATAGTTGACAGTAATGACACTTTTCTGGAAAACAAGAGGCAGAACAGGACGTGATTTTAAACATTTGCTGGGCTGTGCCGCATTCCTCTGGTAGTTAGCTCAGAGGAAGCTTCCTTCGCTCTGGGGAACGGTTGTGTCTCTGGTCATTTCTCTTGAGCTCTTCGGCAAATTTGCTTTTTTTAAAACTTAAGCTGGGGGCGCTTGAAAGTAGTAATAGAGGAATTGGGGTAGGGGAGCGTTCAAGATCTGGGTCTGTGTTAGGAGCCCCACGGTTTTCGGGTCTGAGAATCCACTGCGTGCCCCTCTTTCCCCGGCCCGGACTCCCGCTTCATTGTGTCATCCCGCCTAGGGGAAAGCACCCAACCGGGGATCGTCAGCCGAAAACCCAGCACCACTCCTCCGCCAGCCCACGCCTGGTAGTCTCAGAAAAATCCAAAACTAGGAGAAAATAGAAGAAGGTGTGGAGAGGAGTGCACCCCTAGGCCCACCCATAACAAAAGGCTGTTATTCTGAAAGGGCTGAGGAAGGTTGTAAAACTGCTCTCTGAGAAGGGTGGAGCCTACACACAGGAAATGTCTTAATTGTCCTCTCTGGACGATGTAAACTTTAAATTTAAAAAAAAAAATCACCATGTGCCTCTGATATTTTACCTCATACACTGTTTCTCAGAGGAATCCCTTCGATAGGGGTAAACTTCGTGTTTCGTGTTCTGGCTTTAAAAATAATTTTTTTTGTAGTGTGACCCTTGTCTCCTAATTTAGCTCCAGTGACTTTCTTATTTTTAAATATTGTGGTTTAGGAGTTGCACAAGTTTAGTGCTGATATTTCTGTAACAGAAAACCACCTATGTTGAGGAACCTGAGGGTGAATTAACTTTCAAGTATGGTAGACCTCAGGAGAATTACACACATTTGTCAATCCTAGGAGAATTTTGATTAAACACACACACACACACCTTTTTTTAATCCCTACCCCTGGTTTGGTATTTTGTTTGGTATTTTTAGTTCCAGTTATCACATATTTTTGATAACATACAATTTCTATCAGCTAATTTAATTTTCTACATGCCTGCAAGGCTGCCTTTTTTACTCTACAGGGTATAATCTTTCCTAGTACATAATCTCTGAGTATTGGCAAAATGCTCCTCTGAAACTGTATTGAGGTTTTTTTTTTTGGATGGAGTCTTGCCCTTTCTCCAGGCTGGAGTGCAATGTTTTAAGAGACAGGGTCTCACTCTGTTGCCCAGGCTAGAGTGCAGTGGTGATAACTCTGCCATCCTCCCACCTCAGCCTCCCTAGTAGCTGGGACTACACCATGTTTGGCTAATTAAAATTTTGTAGAGACAGAGTCTCACCATGTATCTCAGGCTGGTGTTGAACTCCTGGCCTCAAATAAGCCTTCCGCCTTCACTTCCCAATGTGTGGTGATTACAGGTGTGAGATACCTTGCCAGGCCTGTATTGGATTTTTAATGCCTCCTATATGAATTTATTTATGTAGTGTCTGTACCTGATAGTGCTACGATTATTCTGGAGTTGTTTCTGCATTTTTGCTGGTTTCAAGTTATTTTCCACACTGGGTCCCAAAAATTTCAGGAGGTGTATCATAGAATGAGTTTTGGTGTTCTGGCTAAGGAAAATATGATATTAAAATGAGTCTAGTCTATTTAGATAAAATAGTTTGTAGAGATTTATGGGACAGTAAATAAGTGTGATAAAAAAACACACTTCATTGACTTAAGGCACTGAGATACAAGAGCAATGGCTTTATCACACGAAGGCTTCTGGTATAAGAAGACAAGCCCTTCAACCTCTGATGGCTTCAGCATTCACCACCAACACCAAATGTACACACACACACCGCTTCCTCTTTCTCTTTTTCGGATTTTCATCTGCAAAATTAAGTTATCACTTTTCTCAGAATCAGTTCATGTATCGTATAAAGTTATATTTGGTATTTTTTCTCTATTAAATAAAAGAGGAATGTGGAAATACAACAAAATGCCACCTCCCGTATTTAGAGAACTGTGTAGTAGCAGAGGTGCAGGTTCATGATAACCATCTCCCCACTTAACATCATGCAGCTTGACTCCTCATGAGAGAACACTCACCACGCCACTTTCCCCCTCAGAAACAGTTGCTTGTGCCCATTGTATAAATTAAATTCTAGACTCTAGTTTGGCCTTCAAATTCTCTCTAAAATGGCCTCGCTCTGCTTCTTACTCTAACATATTTCATTCAAACCTTGTAGGCAGGCCTACCGTTCTTTATAAAACCCATCCCTAGGTTCCATGCTTATTTTCTATGTTTTGTCTCCAATGCCCTACTCTTCCATTTCATCTGTAGAAATGCTTGCCTTTTTTTTTGTTGTTTGTTTTGTTTTGTTTTGTTTTTGAGACAGATCACTCTGTCACCCAGGCTGGAGTGCAGTGGCACAATCTCTGCTCATGGCAGCCTCCACCTCCTGAATTCAAATGATTCTCCTGCCTCAGCCTTCTGAGTAGCTGGGACTACAGGCATGCACCACCATGCCCAGCAAATTTTATATTTTGGGATGTTTCACCTTGTTGGTCAGACTGGTCCCGAACTCCTGACCTCAGGATCTGCCTGCCTCGGCCTCCCAAAGTGCTGGGATTACAGGCGTGAGCCACAGCTCCTGGCCAGCCACCACTCCCGAACTTTTTTTTGTTTTTATTTTTATTTATTTATTTTTTGAGACAAGGTCTGCCTATGTTCGCCAGGCTGCAGTGCAGTAGTATGATCCTAGCTCACTGTAACGTCTGCCTTCCAGGCTCAAGTGATCCTCCTACCTCAGTCTTCCTAGTAGCTGGGACTACAGGCGTGTGCCACCAAACCCTGCTATTCTTTTTTTTTTTTTTTTTTTTTTTTTATTTTTTGTAGAGACAGGGTTTTTACCATGTTGCCCCAACTGATCTTGAACTCATGAGCTCAAGTGATTGGCCTGCCTCGGCCTCCCAAAATGCTGGGATCACAGGTGTGAGCTACTACACCCAACCTAGAAATGCTTACTATTTTCAAAGACTGTGCCTGTGTTCCAATTATTCCATAGTTTCTTCTTCCTTGTCACAGTTGGTGGGAAAAAATATTTTGTTGAGTGCGTACCATGTACCAATGAGGGCTTTCTGCATGGTAGTTTGTCTGGTCTTTGTAACATACCTGTGAAGTTTTAGAGATGAGGAGACAGAGGCAAATAACTTGTCCAAGGTCACAGGCATTGTTGAGTTTAGGCTGAACATTGTTGTTCTGTAACGTTCTCCTTTCAGACTTCTAGATGTTCATATTCATATACATATTTTGTTTAAAATTAAAGGGTGACAATGTGAAATGCCCACCCTAACCTGGTTCCCTCTCCTGCCTACCTGCTCCCTGGAGGACTGATTCTATTGGCTCCAGCTATGAGGTTGTAATGAAGACAGGATCTAGTTAAAAAGCATCAAAACGAACTTTTTCTACCTGCTTTGCAGTCAGATCCTGACATTCAGCATCTGATCTTTCTGGAGAAGGTGCATTCTCTAGCTATTCTGGCTCGATGCGTTTGCACCAGGAAGAGGTATGAAGTGCTCTGTCTTCCTTGGGACATAAAGATTAAAGAATTTGAGGCTATGAAATGCATTACTCCCAAATTTATTACATACTGAGAGTTACCTTGTTGAATTTCTTAATTTTTAATATTTCTTAACTCTTAGGAAAAGTGAAGTGCTGATTTTATACATCTGAATCATCAGGAAAATTTATTCTTAAGTTTTTAGTCAATATCTAGTTTGTGGTGATAGCTAAATGTTTGTCTAACTTTTTTTTTTTTTTTTTTTAAAGACGGGGTTTCACCATGTTGGTCGGGCTGGTCTTGAACTCCCGACCTCAGGTAATCGCCTGCCTTGGCC